TGCATCGAATTTAAAGTTTATTTTGAGATAATTTAATGAAATATTTCAATCCATTCGTGTTATTCATAATTCAAGAAAAAGATATTTGATCGGGAGTAAAAGGAAAGACCATTTCATTTTTAAAAAAGAGAAGTCAGAGTTTTCAGGTATTGTGATGAATTAGTTCATTATGTTGTGGTCTTTCCTCTTAAACCTTCTACAAATAAGAAACAGTAACACTTTATTTTTTCTTTGAATTACCTACCATAACCAAGTCACATTATTGAGAAATTCTTCAAGATCTTGGTTTTGTCATCTTACGCCTTTTAATTAAGATTGGAACATTGACAGGGAAATAGATTTGAAGGAAGAAGTTTCGTAAAGAGCGCGAATGGTAGTGTGATGTAAAATTACTCATGCTAATAAATTAGACTAATGTTTTCACCCAAAAAGACAGAAATCACCCCAAAACACTATGCTAAGGAGAAAAAGTTAAACCTCATGATTCTTAAAAAGTCTTAACCTGACTTATGACAAATATTTCATAAACAATGCACAACAACAACTTATTAATATCATGTAAACTTGCCTCTTCCTTAGTTTTCAATGATGACTTCCCTGTAAAGTTTTTCCCACAACCAATTGATTTGGGAAGTTGTCTTGCTGTGACAGGCTCATTATCCAAGCCACGAGCAACTTCAAAGAGCCACGAACTGGTAGAAAAAATATAAGAAAACCCAAAACAATGCTAAACATCAATAACATGAGTGAAGTAATTATGAAGTCAAACAGAGGAAAATCTGAAAAGCAGTAACCTCTTAGCAAGAATTACACATTTGGCTAAAGATATATTTAAAAAAATGTATAAAATGTGGTAAAAGCCAGTGTATTTTTGTTAACTTTTTAACTCCATAATGTTTTGCCCATTTTGCTGGAATTATTTTCATGATTTCCTAATAATTAACACCAAACCTTATAAAATTTTAATTTTCTTTGTGGATAGTAACATGGTTTGGATTAATTTTCAGCCAAAAAGACATAAATGTTATTGGACACTGTCACAATACAATGGGTAAATCAGTATTTTTGGTTGGACATTTCATTAAGAAATAACTCACTAGTTACGAGAGTTCAGCGAAAGAAAGTAATAAAAATAAAGAGAATCCAGATAATCTTAAAATGACCAGCAATTAAGAGAAAAAAACGCAACTTTGGAACCCTTATTTAACTAAAACTGGTAACAAAAAAAAAAATTCTGGAAGGAGTACAAGTTACTGATTTATTTTGATCACAGATACAATAAGCGAAATAAGAGAGAAAGTGAGAGATACAGTTTGACAACATTCCAGTAAGTTAAGTGTAACCAAAGAAAGTGACAGAAAGTACATAACACAAAAGAAATTTATATAGGATACTGGCTCAAATGTTTTATTTATAGCTTAAGACATAAACCACTATAGTCATTCTGCAGTATTTCAATTTTGCACCATAACAAACAAAAACAAGTATTCAACAATTTAGGTAACCTTACATATGCCTCAGTAAAATGACAAATAAAACAATGTGTAACATTAGTATGTGAAAATAAAAAAAATTACAAGTATTATTACAATTTCTATTGTTTTTTAATTGTGCAGCAGGAGCCAGTCTGTATTTTTACTTACCCAGTTTTCTCACCAAAAGTACGCTCAAGTTGTCTGACAGAAATATTTGAAAGTTCTCCCATTGTTTGTATTCCTAATTTTCCTTCTACTTCTTCCCCAAGTTTTCCTCCAAGGTTTCGTCTAAGCAAGTTAAAAAATAAAATAGCAAGTCTAAAAGATTATATTTCAGTTTAATCTTAATTTTAATTGACTAAATGTGCCAGAGTATATCCAGTCTTTCCATGTTTACAACTTATTATTGTAAATCTTAATATTAGTACAGCAATAAAAGCAGAAGAACCTTAAAAAGGCTAAAATAAATAATTAAAGCAAATACTGAAGCGAGAAGTTTAGCTTCTTAATTTTGTTTTATATGATTCTATGTTGTACACATAGACACTTTAGTTTTCTTTTATTGAATATATGTTTTAAAAACTTTTTGTAATACCATTTTCTTAAAAGGTGCATTATAGTAAGGATACATCTGTTTATGGAAATGCTATTACGGCTACCTGCTGGCTTCTTTAATTTTGAGCTGTCAACCACAGGGAAGGCAACCCACCAGCAGTACCAATCTCTAATTCTTGGGCTATCTACTCTTTACCATCAAAGATGGGATTGACCCTCACATTATAATGACCCCATGGCTGAAAGGTCGAGCATATTCAGTGTTGGGTTTTGATTCTGCGACCCACAGATTGCGAAACGAGCACCCAACCACAAGGACCTACGGATATGATCTTCATAAAATGTTGTAATCAGATGTATCCTAAACTAAGGATATATTTTTACAGTCTTCTTTGTACCCGATTGACCGATCATTAACGGTTCAAGAAAAATATTAACTAAAATAGTTAGAATTAAAAACAATGAATCTTTTAAATATTAAATCTCAGATTTCAGGATGCATTCAAATGATTGTGTGCAAAGGGAAGGAAGAAGATAACAAGAAGTACCAAAACAAACTTAAGTTTCCCTAATTCTGTTGTAATCTTCTACATGCACAAGTAATTTAAGATATGCTATCACAAACACAGCAAAATTACAGATCTTTCACACAAACATAGTCCACTATTGGCCATCCATAATTAACTGTAGATACTTTTTAACTTCAAATATTTTACACAGTTTATTTAACAGAATAGCTATTTTGCACCCAAAATGATTTAACCCTTAAGAGAGAAGCAGTGGAACTTGATCTCATATGGTGTAAAGAGAAAAACAAAAAATATAATGAAAACCTTGCACATTATCTAGATCAATTTAGAAACACAGTTGTAAGTAAAAATTTTACAAGTCTGCAAGGTAAGTTTACAAAAATAATTATAAGCATGTACAAAAACAAGATTTTCTATATCCTATAACTTATACCATACACAATGATAACTATATATCTATGTTGATTGATGAAGCTTAATTGTTACTCAGTTATTTTTCGACATAAGTGGTTTATACACACTCAAACACATGTGCATTAGTATGTTTAGAACTGTCCCTTACATCTTGTGAATTGGAAGTTCTCTGTAGAGAAGTGAAACTGAAACCTGAGGAAGTATAGTCTGTTGCTGTGGTTTGTGGAGTCCACATGCTAATTTGGCCAACATCTGAAAAATCAAAATAAACACGCAAGTTCAAAAATAACACACAATAAAAATTTGTTCTGCAAACCTCTTTATGACCAACGTTAAATGCAAAAAATTTCTTTATTTTGCAATGCATGAATTCTGGACATTATACATTTTTTCTTTTCTCACTTACACAAAACCTGTTCAAACATACTACAACTTGTAACTAAGACTCACTCTCTTTTATTTATTATTATCACACACAAATAATATTATCAAAACATTAAGGCTACCAACATTCCTTAGTTAACAAATACTAACTGACCTAAAGATAACTTTTTATATCAATGTACATACCAAACAAAGCTTAAAACATCAGAGTTATCACAAAACTAATACCATTAAGTACACTATTTAGCACATCTAAGCTCTTGCATCATTACCTTTAACTCTCTCTAAAACCTACTAAATACATTCTAAATGTTTGTTTTCATTAAAACTTTATATTTTAACTGTTATTTTCTTTACCCTAACTCTATACAAGATTAGTCAATTTGACTGACCTCATACCCCCCCCTCCCAATCTAAATTACCCTCTTTTTCTTCCTAAAATGGCTTCAAATGTAGTGTGAATCTACATTTATTTATCCTAAGTAGCTTTAAACTCATAACGTGCAGCTCACATTATGCTATCGAATTACATCAACCACGAGCTGCTCACATGCATGCCTTGTGAAACATTTTTATATATTATTATTATTTATTTTAATTAATCTAATCTTAACTAACCTAAAAAGATCCCTACTTTTATAATAATAAATAAAGAATGAACATAGAAAACAAGAGATAAAGTACTTACCCAATCTTCTTTTTTCTTCCTGTCAATGAGACTTAACCCTAGTTTTTTTTTTAATATTAATGGTAGTAATGCACCAAAGAACATAGACTAATGACCTACAAAAAGTAGATAATTTCCCCTAACTCTCAAAATTTTTCTGGCTTTCTAACTATGCGACAAAAGCCATTAGAAAGTCATCCAAGCTAGTCATTAAGTTTCCCACAGGAATGAGCGTGTATTAAAAGTGAAATTGACGCTTATCTATTCAAAACACAACATTATACAATATGTCATTTGACAAATGAAAACATCGCTTTCTGTTGGTTATAGGTAATATATAAATAAATATATGAGAGAGCTATTAACAAATCCTGAAAGAGAGGATGTGACAGGGGAGTGTGGCAGGAGGGGTCTGATTTTCTATATGATAGCTCTAATCAAACAAAATTGAAAGCAATAAAAATTATGGCTTGCTTGAGTAATAATGACTTTATAGTGAGTAATTTTAAATTTAATTTTGTACTTTTTTGAAGGGTGGTAGATAAAATAGGGAAGATGACATGCTAAGAGAAAATGTGTCACGTGGGTCACACTAGGGGAAATTCAGGATTTTTTTAAATATTGCCTTATAAAATTAAGAACTTAAAACTTATATACTGTTAAGATATGGATTATTAGCTAATATTTTATGCTATAATAATTGGTATATCATAAACAAAAAGTAGTTTAATAAAATTTTGAATGTAAGACACTAAAACCTTGGGTCATGCGCAGTAAAGGATACCAGTGGTGATAGTACTCATGCCACCATTATCCAAGAATAAAATTCCTGAAACATATCACTATTCTACATAGCTTAACCCTTCATAAACCAGGGGAGTGTCACTGATATCTCTTGATTTTTTCATTCCTATCCAGTTTTATATTACAAAAATGCATTTCATTTGACATAGTTTTCTATCATTTTTTTATTTTATTTAATTCCTTAAATTGTTTATGAGACACTGTTTTGGAAAAAATATTAAAATTACTTCTTTTCATCTTAGAATTCTGTTGATCAGAAAGTCCCACTTCATATATTCATTCAGTTTGAAATTGATTTATATTCACAAACATATGTTTTTGATGGTTTATTTTGACTATTACAGTAGTTACCACTTTCAGCTATAAATCTTAGACATTATGGTTAAAGCTGATGAAGATTTAGTAATGATCTATGATACACCTTTTACAACAGTATCACCATTACTTTTGTCAGGCTAGTTAACAATATTCTTGGTTGAGATAACTCTGTATCTAATAAATAGTTTCTTTCCAATAAATAATAAGTTCTATTATTTGTGCCTATCATTTGAATACAACAAACCTGGCAATAATATTCATAAGTAACAAGTTAATATTTTGTCACTGTCTTTAATAACTAAGCTTTAATATCTGATATTTTGTCATAAAAATAAAACTTTCATACCTTTTAAGATATATAATTTAGGAAGAAAACATTTTCAGAAACAAAATAAATGTCAAAAAATTATATAATATTCCAAGATTTTAGGTTTTTTTACATCGACTCTTCTAAACTTCCTTTGTTCATCCCTGCAGAAGTTCTATCTAGTCTATTTTCTAAATCCGTAAATTATTGTTAAAACTACTTTACTTACTCTACATTGACAAACAACTTATAATCTGGTCTATTCAATGGTTTGTTTGTTTTTGCTGCAGTTACACAAATGGTTATCTGCAATCATTCCTGCACAGGGAATCAAACTATATATCTATCCAATGGTAGTTAAACTTTGTCTTAACTATTTTCAAAGCTTCATTTACAATTACTTAGACCACACAATGTGACATTCTAAAAGTGTGGGAAGAGTAAGACGAGATCTTCATTAATCAATCTCTTCTATCTGCACATGAGACATCGTATATTTGTTTGACTATTGTCATAGTTCCTTAGAATATTCAGATTACACCAGCAACATTTGTAATACTTCTTATATACGTCCCAAGCAACACTGCATTCACACACACACACACACACACACAAACAAGATAAACAATATGTTAATGCCCCCCAGTCCAAATGATCTGGTTTAAAACAACACTTAACATATAGGACAGTGTTTTGAGACCTATAAGCTTTTGAATGGAATTTCCAAAACTGATGTCCTAGAAGTCTTAGACTTCTTGTCTGTTTTTGCAAATTAGTGGAAGGGCCGAGAACTCTTTTATCTTCATCACATATAAATACTGGGCCAGATCTTCTTTTACATCTTACTCTTAGTTGATTTTCATGTTTTAAAGTGTAGGGTTCCCCAAATAGGTCAGATCCTGTTCAGCACATGCAATGGTACAGGAATGGATGAAGAATGTTAGCCATACTGTTTAATATATAAGGAATGAACAATCCTTTCTATCATACTAATAGAAAGATTCAATAATTCCACTGCAGAAATAACATCAATGTTTTGTGATTATATTGACTATTTCTTGCTTTAAAATAAGTCAAGTGTTATAAGACTGCTTTACTTATCATTATCCCCTATTAAATTGACCATGGACATTTCTTGGCACTCAGATCTTCCATAGATAGTGCAAATCAATTAAGTATGTTGCACTGAGTACTCAAGTTATAACTTGCTTGTAATATTTTCTTTGATGTTGTCTTTCATCTGTTTCTTCATGCATGTGCATGATGAGAATTTACTGCTTGTACCAGAGACTGAAGAACACATCTCGTTAAGAATATGATAATAGAGATCTTTAAGACTCAAAACATTTGGATAAACACACAAGGCAAGTAGTTTTAATGAACATATTATAAGATAGGAAGATTCCGTGAATGAACAAAGAGAAAAAAAGACCTGGCCATTTATAACCCATCAAAAGTTAATCTAATGTACTAAAATGGAATATTTTTTAACACTAAATATTAACTTTAATGTCACTAGTTTTTTGTTTTTTTTAGGCTAAGTGTTAAAAATTCCACTCACCAAGGTTTGTTTCATTAATACGAAAGTTAAATGGGTCTTTCTGTAAAAGCTAGAGTGATACTAGTTGTTCATGTTTCTAATGGCTAGACCCAAAAATTATTCTTATCATTTAATTCATTACTTGGGTACATTTTTATCCTATTCATATAAACTAATTATTTCATAGACTTTTAGAAACTTCTTCCAAGACAGAAGTGAACAAAACACAGCAGAGCCTTGTGTGTGTGTGTATAATCTTTACCTGACCAATTGTCTTAGGCTATACATCAACAAAAATAAAAACAATGTATATATAAAAAAAGGTTATACTAATTGTCGAAAAACATAAAAGATAAAGCTTCAAAAGAAGATATTTGCAGAAAAAAGCACCTAAAGCTATTGAGAATATCCTGTCTCTCCAGAAATCCTCCAAATCGCATATTAAAAATCAACTATGCACCAGTGAAAAACCAGGATATATTAAGATGCAAGAGTTCAGGTCCTTTAACTGTTTCAGCATGGACTCAGTCCCTGGGACCGACCTCTTAATCATTTTGTGCTTGTTATAGTTTTCATGCTATAACTTTTAAATTAGTAAATGAATGTTAACGAAATTTGGCATTTTATCAGTAAACACTACAATGCTTTCATATGCAAAATATCAATTTTTTTTATTAAGTCTTAAGGTTTGTAAAGCAATCTTTTTCTCATGTCTTTTTTTTTCACATCTTGCCTATCTATCATGCAAAGTAATATCCATTTTAAGATTAAAAATATTTTTGTGCATCAGAAAAATTTTAAATTTCACATGCGAAATCTTTATAATGTCCAGATAGTTATCAAATGTTTCTTAAGAAAAAACTTTATATTTTATGCTATTTTCAGTAATCAATCTCTGTACAGGTTCGGTAGATTTGACGAATTCGCAACCACCATAAAAAATTAGAAAATATATATAAATTATGCCTCTTTCTTTCTAGAATGAACACAAATTATAACATGTTTAGATTAAATCTCATAACATTATATGTTTATATATATATTTCTTATTTTTATTATATTGACCTTTCAGTCGTGCCTGGCTAACAATACAGAAGTTACAATGACGCGGCTCACGTGCACTCATGTTACTGTATCAAATAACATAAAATTGACCTTTGGTCTGTACAAAGTAACTTGTCTTGGCTTTGTTTTAGTAGACTAGTATTTTGTAAAATACAGTCACATTTCAATTATTATACATTTTATATCTTTATAGATTACTGCTATTTTGAAATAAGTTCTTAAACTTATTTTTCTTAAAACATAGAACAGTAACTAAAGAAGTAAAGCAAATAATTATCTCTTCTAGTTACAACCTTTGTACTCGGTTGCTACTTGACGTAGGTTACTAAACTTTTAAAAAATGTGCAGGTGGAAGATGTGAAACAAAATATTTTTTTAGATTTTATATATACATTTGAATAACTAAAAAATCATAAATTACTACATTAATACCACAGAATTCCACTATAATTTACCAAGCTTAGTAACTAAGATGTATTTTAGTCTAGAAAAATATGAAATTTTGAGCAGACTAAAGACTCACTTCCTACCTTGTTGAAATATTGGTTCAAAAGAAAGAAATGGTGCCAAGCCCATTAAAATGGCTGAGAAAGCCACTAGGAAGACAATCTGAGCTTCCAGTTGGTTATTTATGTCATATATAGAAGTAAGTGTATAAAAGGGAGCATTTCCAAAAATGGAAGGAAGTGGGCAGGGTGCTACTGTGTTTGATTTATTACACGAGCAATATCTTATCAAATTCAAAAGATAAGAGGCTCTTGTTTTATATTCTAGCTTGTCAATATTGGTAATTTGAGTTTCTAATTTGTACAAAACTATGGACTTAGTATTTTGACTTCACAAACATTTAATTTGAACTAGTGCTGCATTCAACATACAAAGTGAAACATAAAAATTGATGTTTATCTGTGTTTTTTAATATTTGCTATTAAATTAAGAAATTGAGTAATATATAGTACTAAAACTTGAATTATAATCTACAGTTCGATACCAAAGTTATTGACACAAATTCATGAAATAGT